GAGCAAACTTTCATCCATTTGCTTGAAGCCTGTTTTGTTGGAAATGGCAAAAAACCTACTTACAGCTTTCTTCATCTAGGTTTGGCACAATATTCAGAAGTGAAAAACTGTCTTCTCAATGGAAGATGACAGCGAACCTGAGCAGAGCCCCTGGGCTCATTTACCTGATGCCTGTCTGAGGCATGTCTGCCCTTGGTGAGATGACAGGGACAGATCTCAGGCTGCCTTGGTCTGTAAAAAATGGAATTGGGCCATGTACTTGAGATCCCTCTGGAAAAGCAGAACCATCACATTCTATGGCTGACCATCAAGGGCACACACACTGGAGCTTCAAAGTGCACTGTGGTATGCCAAGAAATTTGCCAAGTATTTGGAGCACCTCGAGATCCAGTTATCAAATCCTTATGATACTGCCTTTACCCCAAAATTTCAAGTGACTATGAGAGGTCTTCTTTCACACCTGGGTAAGTGTAACAGTCGCCTAGTAACCCTGAGCATCAAGTACCTGGAATTAGACTGCTTGATCTGGAGAAATGTGGTCAGGGCTCAGTTTATCAAGAACTTAGCTATATTCCTGAAAAGAATGAGGAAATGGCTTGATTATCTCAACTTAAAAGGAACAAGAGTAACCTTAGAAGAAGGCTGTGAGCTTCTGAATTCTCTGAGCTGCATGACAAATGAAAGCTTAGTATCTGAAATCAACATTGAGGATTTCTTCAGTCTCCACCTTGCTGTCTACAGCAGCCTCTTGTTCCACCAAACTATTTCCAAGTTCCATGGCCTGGTCACCCTGACTTTAAATTATAACTGCACCTCTGATGAACTGCTGGACATCCTGTGGGAGCACAGCGCTCATTCCCTGTGCACCTTGAATATCAAATGTCACATCCATGACCCTCATGGGCAAGTGGTCTGCAGAATGTCATGGGCAAACTTGGTCAAGAGAGCTCCAAAACCGAATGTGAACTTCCTCTTTGAAAGAGTCAGGCAGTATAATCACCTAGCCAGGATCCTGCTAGTGGAGATCTCAGTCAGGAGCATCAGTTTATGAAACTGCTATTCCAGTGACCTGGACTGGACAATGAGACCTACCCTCACCAACCTCCTGCCAGTCTACTCACTTGTTCTGCAGGTAAGGGAAACAACAGTGGCATCTTACTGCAGTATCACAAAGCTAAGCAAAGGAATAGTATAGGCCTGCTGCACAGCAGCAATCATCTATAGGAGTGCCTGACCACTTCCTTTTATGTTCAGAGAGTAATTTTCATAAGTTCCAGCTATAGATCTAGTTCCAGTAATTGTCCTTGTCCAGTTACAATCCCCATTATGCTAGTCTTTGCTGTCAGGCTGATGTCTGGTTGCCCTCATAAAAAGCTAAAACAGCCAAAATACTGGTAGTGGTTGTGATGTCAACTGTGAGCAAAAAGAATCTTTCAGGCAGGA